GTTACACGTCTTTCTTTTTAACAAAAACACATGGTTTTTGCAGAAACAGTTTCCAACTCCGTCATACTCTCAGTTGCAAAATGCATTCGCTTTTGAATTTGCGTTAAAACTAAATTGTCATGTCAGCGTGCAGGGGATTTCACCTCAAAGCCGAACTAAGACTACACGTGAATATAGAATTCATTGTGTCTATTACAGCACATTTTCGCGGGTAGCATAGCTACTCCTTCCGGTGTAAACAATTTTATCAAGGTAGTGTACGTCAAAAGAAAGAGTTGGGATGGTTCAATAGCAAGAATGAGAGAGAACAGATGGACAGGATCAAATTTCCGAATGATTACTTATTCCCACAATGTTACATCAACAAAGAAAAGATCGCCGATGCAATGAAAGGATCCAAGTAAAGGCCTACGTAGAATCATGAGAATGAGAGTGGCTCAAAACCGAGAAGAATGGAGAAATGCTAGCTGCATCAATCGCGAAAAAGACGTGACACAGAAACAAACTTATCAGAGATTGCGATTAGAAGATTTACACTGTCAAAACTGTCACGAAATCCAAAACAGACTACACTACAGTTCCACTGCGAACATGCTATACTGTTCGATAAAAAAGGAAAAAACATCGTCAACTACGCCGACGGTGGTTAATCTTGGCTTTTCGGGCTGCTTCTGAATGCTTCACCTTCACACAGTGAGAAAATGAAAGGGGTTTTATCCTCGACTTAAAAAGAAATCCTAAAAAAATTACCTGAAGTGACAAAACCAAGTCCGATGTGGTCATTTTCAGGGGAACACCACTCTGATCCGTTGAAATACCATCCACTTCGATTGGATTTGTGCTCAGCAGTGCCGCTCTTTTCTTCTCCGATACTTCATATCTAAAAAAAGGGGTATTTTTTCAGTTTTTCTGCACATTTTTCTTGCAAAAATAATAAAAAATTTACCTTAGCCACATCAAGAAATATCCCAGTTGATTGTGTCCCAAATGTGGTGGTCGTCCCGTATCACTGCGCATCCAGTGCCCCAACAGTTCCACATCGATCTTCTCCCGTGCC